GGAACGTCTATCGTGTTTATATTAGCTATAAAAAAGATCATGACAATGTGTAAACTGGACATACGTATGAAATAACTAAGAAATAATTTAATATATTGTCAAGAGTAATGGCTTCGCAATACGCAAGATTGAGAATTCTTAATAGAAATGAGGTGAGTTATTTTCAATCGACAATTATTTTCTTTTTATTTTATTTTATTTTATTTTATTTTATTTTATTTTATTTTATTTTATTTTATAATACATGGCATTTAATTCAGACCTCTGGTATAAAATGCAAAACGCGGATCTGTAAACGAGTTTGGTATTGTAGTGTTTTTATTTTATTTATATTTGTAAATAGTTTCTTGAAATTAAATTTTATCGATCGCCTAAATCATCTGACATAGTTTGTTAAACCACGTTAAACATATTCAATTACTTGATTGGGTTACATTAGATTGTTACATTAAATTTCAAATTCTAATACTTTCGTAAGTTTCGCCAAGGATGAGTTCTGCAACTATTACGTGCATAATAAAAAACAGACTTTTAAAACCCACCTTGTACAATTAGCTGGCACACGAAATAACCTTTGACATCCAAAATCTAAATGGTAGCGCTCTCTTTCCTGACTTTTACGTTGCTTTACATTAAAAAAACACGAGAATAGTAAAATTGAAAAATATGAGTAAAAGTCAAACAAAAACAAGTGAAGTATTACTATTGTCTGCTTATCCTGAGAAATCGATCTGTTAAGGGATTTCCGGATCACTGACATAACAGAATATAACATGATAATTATCTCTTTGAACTTTTAGACGTAATGATAGAAATACGAAAGCCACGGCTCTATTATATCAAATTACAAAAGTTGAAGTTTATAAGCAGCGGGTGTGTTTCGTAAACTTAAGTATAAATAGAGGATCGCCTGGCTAAGAGGAATAGTTTTACTTAATAGCTTTTGTTTTGACCTATTGTATCACGACCATAATCATTTGTTGCATTTGACATAGATAAAAATTGGGGGGTAAGGTCATTATATTTTACATCACCAAAATTATTTTCTTATTCTTTTTTTTTATACATTGAGAATGAAAAATGCGTCTTCGTCTTCGTCTGATCCGATAGCAAGCATTTGTTTTTCTGTTGTCAGATAGTTAGGACTCAGAGGGTAAAGCGAAAAAATTTAAATATATGAAAGAAAACAGAAATAACACTTGTAAGTTGCAGGACAGAGTGATTTAGTGCTAAAGTTTACTTATTACATAAAAAGCTTAAAAACAAAAGAGTAAAATTACATATTTGAACTATAAGGCCTGCAATATAATTAAGAAATTATTAAATAGAAATAAATAAAAGGTTTTTGTTTTTACGAATACTCCTGTTCTGTTACAATATTTTAATAATTTTGCCAATTTTAAATATTATTCTCCATTCTTTATAGCATGTTCGTGTTTGCAACACAAGACGTTTAACAACACTGTATAAACTAAAAAGGTGTGTTACGTCGTAGTAATAGTTTTAATCTTTTGAAAGGAACAAAACAAAGATTCGTCATAGATTTTTTAGTCCATAATTACATAGATATACAATAAATACATAGCTAACACAAAGCAAAGAACTTTAGCTCAATATAATTAGATGTAAATTTATCAATTAAAATCTAACATGCATTTTATTATGAACCAATTTAGAAATTATTCTTCTGTTGATATAAATCACAAAAATCAAAGGATATTTATAACATCCGCTACTTGTGACCACAATTAGTTAATCTTGTTTCGAGCACTTAAATAATGTTTTTATTATGTAAGTTGTTTCGACAGCCTAAATATCTATATATCTATTTTCGGGATCACATATCACGTTGTGAGTTAACTGAATTAAATAATCTAACTTTATGATTTTAAGGTCATCAAAAAAACTGTGACCTTTAAGAATTCAAAATGACTTTAAAGAGGCTGTTTGAGCAAGATTACCTTGTATGTCTCGTATTGGTTGTCGAAGTTGTTGCTTTGTGAGTGATTCTAAGATAAAGTCCACAATCCAATGTCGACGTTAGAAACATTTTTTGGTGGATTTTTCTCTACACATGTCTTCTAAGTTTAAAAGGAAATTTTCAAGTGTTTTCCCGATAGACTGTTATACGCTTATTATCTATTACATAAGATCAAAAACATGGTTACCTAAACATGAGTGTATAGGTAATCCATCTACCAACACCATCGGAGATACACCTAAAAGCTCGAGTAACGAGCATTACACGGAGAATCACTTAATTCCTTAGCAACAAGTAGTAGAACTTTTCTTTGAAAGAAAACATCACCGTTTTGTGGTCTTTTCTACGGACCACTCGTTTCACATTTCGTGATTGAAGAAATTCGCTGTTTAATACTTATTTAAGCAAATTTTTATAACAAGAGACACAGTTGGAATGTAAATCCGATGTATTTACTGTTTGTGACTTCTAATTGCAAACAAATAGGAAAATAAAGTGAATGTTTTAGTTATATCATCAATCTATAACACTTGATGACGCAACCAAAGCACGCTAAACTATTTTTTATCAAATATTTAAAAGGTATAAATGATTACTCAATACCATTTGAGTACATATTCATCATGGGGATTATTAGAGGTACGCTTACTGAAAGTAAATGTGTAGTCCTACTCTTTATTACGTAGTACCATCGGCAGTTCGTACGTGACCGGATCGAATTTGAACCGGCCGCGCCGATGTCAGAAGCCAATGGTTAGACAACTCAGATAACACATAAATTTTAAAGTTATTAAAATGTGATATCCCAGAGTAAGTCATTTTATATTGGTGCTGCAAGAGTTTTCTTTAAGCAACATATGTATATTAAGCATGCTGCAACTGAAAAATTAAATATCACATTAATATCACATAAAAATTTACAGTTTCAATTGTGTTTAGTCAATCAATGTTTATTTGTAAATCTCATCTGACTGATTCAGTGATTCATGGACTATAGGATTAGACTTTTTTAATTTCAATTAATGTGTAAACAAATATAACAAAATATAATTGCACATAAACAAGTTATATTTTATTTTGTCCAATTTCGTATACTTACGATTAATTTTCATAATTTATATTTATTTGTGTTTTACGCATTTTACACTTTCCCTCCACGTTCTGTATTTAAATGGGGTAAATATTTTTACTTTATACCTACTTAGTATATATTATATTTAAGATAAAGCAAGAAATATATATGACAAATACAAAAATGAATCAGCTATGGTTGTTAGAAATGTTATGCGAGACTTCTGTAATCCGGTTTGTTGCAGCTCACTCTCTACGCATCTGCAGTATGTGGTTTTACAGGTTCATAAGATTTCTCTCAGCAACATCAGTGTAGATATAAATTATGAAAAACGCATATTATCCAGAGGTACTGAAGTTGTTTATGCTATCTGAAAAGCTACTTTCACATTTTTAATTTCTTTATGTATGTTGTAAATATTTTTTAGCATCATTAGGCATAAAGATTTATTTTTTGCCTTTAGCTACGGAACCACAAAATAGAATTGTTGTTTTATCGTCTCTTTACATGCAGCTCCAATTTTTGCGTTTATAAGCCGTAGGTAATAGCTGTTAGATTAAATACTCTTGATTAATGAACTAAAAAGACACTTAAACAATTGACCAACACAACTGTAATCGTTCTTAATTAAGAAAATACTCTTTGAATGAAAATAATTTGCTATTGTAGCTTAAGTTTGAGTTCATCCCACACGTCAATTAAGCAATTATGTTAAATAACCGTGTAAGTATTTGTAAATTTAAACGTGATTGATATGCGTTTTGAACTATGTAATTAAAACGTGGTGTGATGTGAAATTTTAAAGACTCGCGAGTAAAATAATTTAAAGGCAATATGGAGAAGCCAGTGAAGATGAACGCAACTATGAAGTAGGTAATTTCATCTAACCTACACTGCTGTATTTCACCACCATAAAACATATTAAATCTTTGTTATTGAATCTCAACACTGTATTTCGTAAAAAAGACATTAAGTGTTCTTTTCGTGAGGTGACCACTTTAACAGGTAGAATTGCCTTATTATCGTACACAAGTTACTGTAAATATCATCCATAATATAATACATTCCAAATAATATGTCTTGGATTTCTAGTTATGTAAAGTTTTAGGGGTCCTAACACAATGTGATTTAGCCATATTTAATCGAGGTGTTTTTAACTGATACATCATTATATTTAAATATAGTTTATAGTGACACTTTAATATATAGGTACGGATGAGATGAGTATAGGTGGAGGCTATTATATGCACTTATACATAAATGGAACACCCATTTTATTATATGAGCATTGCCGAGTACCATAACACTTTTTTTTTTTTTTTTGAAAATGTGGAAGTCCCCTCGGACCGTCACCCCACCGGGGTTTGCGACGGGGTGGTGTGTCCTACTCGGACCGACTAAAACCACACGGTGTGCCACTCTGCGCCTGCAATAGACGGGAACCGGGAACAGCTGTTATTAAGACATCCGGACCCCTCCTAGCGCCGGCCCACTCCTGTTGCGGGCTCCGTCTCAAAAATTTTTTTTTTCCTCTCTTTAGGCGACGTCCGGCACACGCGGACGCCGCCCCCTCGCGGCTGGCCAAACTGAGTACCATTACCCTGCCCTGACCTTAAAAAAGCCAGAATTATAATTTAACTTTTTTTTTTAAATGTGCAAAAGCTAATAACTTTACAATATTTTTTTTAAATGACAACGTGCTCTCATGTTATGCCATGAAAGTAGCTAACAAACTACGGCTTCACGGTAAACGGCCATCAAAGTACAACAAAATATTATTTTTCAATAAAGGATTATCAATTTCAGGTTTTTGGCGTATAACTACGCCAAAAACCTGAAATTGATATATATATAAATGAAATAAATTTGTATTGTGAAAACAAGTGACAAATAATTCAAAAATAAATAAATTAAATATTGTAAATATTTTAGGTCACATTACTTACAATGTGTTACGCTGTTAGTTTATTACCATTCGTAAGTACAACACCTAATATACCGACAACACAGAAGATTGACAATAGTACTTCATCACAAAATGAAACCGAGTTAGAAGTTCTGTTTCATTGGGAAGACTACAGTGTTCTCGCTGCTATGTTGATCATATCGTGTATGATAGGCGCTTTTTACGGATATTTTGGAGAAAAGCAGACTACCGGTGACGATTTTTTACTTGGTGGTTCTTCCATGGGAACATTTCCGATGGCTATGAGTCTCGGGGCAAGGTTAGTAGAAACAATATTTTTTTACAATCCTGTACAGAGGAGTCCTTCTTCTAAATTGTCTTTTCTACTTAATTTTACTATACAAACTTGTAAGAGGTTTTGCATTTTAATTACTTGCAAGATATTATTCATTAGCTATAAGTTACATTTTTAAATGGCTACATAAATTTACATATTTAGGCCCCACAATTATTATTGTAATATTGGATGACTTTTAATAAAGATACTACTGATGTGTGTATTTGTGTGATGCCTGATAGTTTATTACTATTAGGTATCTTTATATTTTATGTAAGATCTTTATATTTCATCGCTTGTAGCTATCAAAGATATATCGAAGAATTGTTCGACAAATCTTTGATTAATTTTAAAAAATACGGTCCCTACCTATACGGGCTATATCCAGGTTGTAGAACTAGCATAATATAGTTATCTAATATCTAGAACCTCCTACGAACTATCAAAAATATATTATCTTTTGAAATATTAGGGGCCTTTATTTGTTACGTGTGAAACTGCTATGCAAACTTAATTGTGATAAAATAACTCGTGTGCATAGGATATGCGAAGATACGATCTCTAGATACAAATAGTGTATCCTATTCAATTTAGTTTTACTATTTTCAGTTTCGTAACAGCCATTGAGTTATTGGGAAACCCAGCGGAGATGTATATGGCAGGGGCACAGTTCTGGATGATTTGTATATCTTTTGTTCTCGTCGTGCCGATTGCGAGTCAACTATATCTGCCAGTGTTCATGAGACTGCGGCTCACTTCGTGCTATGAATATCTGGTAAAGATTTCTATAGATTACTAATTTTTAAATTTAAATTAAATAATTTATTTTATACACAGTCTTGTCTTAACAATTCTTAAAAAAGAACATTCTTCCCTATTTATATTATTTCTCAAAGAGGATTTCTTCAAATGCATTAATTTCTTACTTGGTTTACCTATTTAGTACAAATGTAATGTGGACGGTCAGATCTTTTTTATTTTTTACGAATGGAGGAAATTCTTCTAGAACCATCCACAGCCTGGCTCATTACACCAATATCAATCAAACGAATGCATTTGGCTCCATACTAGGTAGGCTTTGTGTAATGCTATCACAGCAATTCAATTTACTTGATCACCCCACAAAAAAATGATATCACGTTAATATATATTATGCGGAGTTCAGCTCAAAAACATGAAAATACAATGCATTTACATATTATGAGAACAAAAGGTTCCTAATTCAAATATATATTATTATTATTTTTTTTTAATTGTCAGCTAAACGATACGAATAGTGTAAGCCTTGTAAGTTCGTTCAAGCCTAATTTCTTGCATACAGGAGTGGTATTGCCCTTCTTTTACAGAAAATACCTAAGTTCGTCATTAAATATTTCGTTTATAAAATGTATAAATATAAGTAAAAATATCATTTCATAATAATAACATAACTAGATCATTAATTTTCTAGGAAGTGCGTTTCTGTAAATCAATTCGAGTGTATGCGAGTGCGTTGTACTTTCTGCAAATGATACTGTACACTGCCGTGGCTGTGTACGCCCCAGCGCTCGCCCTTTCTGATGGTAAATATTTATTAAATATTACAACACGTTAATTACACACGCTAAAATTAACATTTACACAAATCATATCGAGATAATTTTGTAATTTGGTTTTGCAAAGTTACAAAATTAACATTTACATAACCAGAGGTACAATGACCACTCTCCTTATTCTTATACAAAAGGTTTTGTGAGACTTGGAACGCTATTCCTTCTCAGTCTTGAGTAGGTACGTGGTACTTCCAACACCTGTCAATTTTGCAGCCAATGCATTAACATATGTTGTTAATTTTTGTTGAAATTTTAGGCTTCGGGCAGCTATTTCTTGTTTAACGATATTGAGCCTAAGATCGTGCAGTATGTATTTGTTGTGTATGCATTTCGGAATGTTGAACATAGACCTAATTGCTTTAGTTATAAAAGCAACATTGAAACCTTTCCAGAATTTCAATGTTGCTATTACTTGCTGTTGCCCTGAGTTCTTTTCCGTATGTCTAGACTGGGTTTAATATGGTTTTGTAAAAGTGCAGGCCTAGGTGTTCATGCATCATGTGGAATTTGTTCTCCGTTCAGTGTGATTAGTCGTCTTTCCTTAGAATGAATGTAATGTGGACTGATTTGCTTTGATTAGATTTTATTCATAGTTGTCATTAACAGACATAATCGCGGTATCATTCGCGTACGTGGCAATAAAGGTTTTTTCATTCAGTTCACTGAAAATGAGATACAGTGTTGGATCTAGTATGCTCCCCTGGTGTACTCTTGATCTTATTTTGAACAAATTATGCATTTTTTATGCTTTTAAAAGACAACTCCCTCACTAGGAATAAGTGCTGTGTCGCGGGGGACTTAACCAACATACATGAAACAGACACAAAGTACATCCAGACTCAGAACAACAATTTGTAGATTACACAAAATGTCGTCCCATGTGGGGTTTGAACCCACAACACTCGTCGCAGTAGGAAGCGCCGTGGCGACGGCTTAAACCACTACGCCGTCCGTGCTGTTAGCAGCAATTAGACGTAGTGTTGTTTAGTTCGACCTCATAGCATCTTCCATCTAGGTAACTTTTCAGTATTATATAGAAGGAGTGGGGCAGGTGTTTTTTGATTTTGAACAGGAGGCCGTCATCCCTATCAAAGACTACCTTGACGTATATCCAGAAACACAGCCGAGCAGTATTTCTTGTTCTCTAGCGTGTAGGCGATCGTATCTATCAGCCGGTGGACCTGCTCAATAGTTTCATGCTTTTGTCTGAATCCAAATTGGTGCCGGGGAGAATAGTATTGAGTTGTGATTGAGACTTACTTTTTCGAGCAGTTTCCCACTAGTGGAAGCAGACTAAAATCGAAACGGTATACTCCCGAGGTACTCCTATTATCATCAAATTAGAATCTGATGATGAGATCTTAAAGAAATCGAGAATTCAAAAAATCTAATCATGTATTGACCTTGTTTTATTCTTTGAAGTTATTTGTTAGGTGTTTGTATTGGGTTACAGAGATATGTGCACAGGAGAGTAGTAAATGAGATTAAAAAACATTTAGAAAAAAAAGAAAGTGTGTTACGCAATTATTTTCATGCATATTACCTCAAAACTCTTGTTTTATTAGGAAGGGTATATTTCCCTTTTGGTTCCATTTAAATGTGAAGAAAAAATGCCACTCTCACTCACTCTAGTTGTGGAAAATTAAGTAATGTGGAAAACAATATAACAAATGTAACATCTTACTAACTTCTCTAAATAAAGTAACGGATTTACTAAACTAAATTTAATATAATTTAACAGCTATGCAAATTGGTTTTATAATGCAATACTAAAAAAGTACACATATTATTCTGCCTAATTAAATCGTGTCAACCAGGAATAAGTGACTAGATTATACTCTAAAGATATGTAGGGTTTCAAAGATTTTTAAGTACACAACACTTGAAATAAGATTTTGTTATAAGTAGCATCTTTCCTGATTTCCGTATAAGTACTTTGTACTCAAAACAATTGCAACTAATCAGAGTAAAGTACCTCGAGATATCCTGTCTGTGACAAAAATGAATGCTCTTATCGCAGGTGAGCACACTTACCTAACAAGTTAAGTAGGTATATGTGCTGCGATAAGAGCGTGACCACTTATAGGTCAATATCAATTTTGTGATACATGTGTAGCATTAGGTTGAAGTTAAGTGTGCTATCACTCATCAACAGCCTTTAATAGTCCACTGCTGGACACAGGCCTAGGACTTGGCCTACTATACTACGTTGGCCAGACGGGTTTTTATAGGGTTTGTGTCAAGTCTACTCTTTGCAGTGCTGTTGTCCTGCATATTCTTAGTTTGACTCTTACGACACCCACGGGATAAATAGGGGAGGTGACACTCCGTATTCTTAATCCGTCACCACACGGACATACTTGTGTGCTATACTTCTTCAAAAAAGGTACATTTTATTTAATATCACCACTACGTACGTTCTCATTTACCAGAATTGTAGAGGTATCATTTTTTGCGGATATCATTCCTTTTCATTGTTTTACCGAGGCACGGAGGGGTCTCAATTTGTTAAGAATGGTCACCCGTCCATAGACTGTCCTGGCTAGGATTCCTTTACTTTTACAATGTGTTAACCTCCTCGGTTGTTTCTATGCCACGAGCCCCACTCTTTTTGCGGATACACAACCTAATGATATCGTGTACAATATAATACACTCACCTAGAAAAGACATACTTACTTAAACGACGACGGTCAAGACTAGTCAAGAGTACCTACATAGGTGCCTATACTTATTCACTCTTGACCATATTTCTTACTTTTTAAATTGAGAATGTAAACATGTTCCAATTCGGGAAGTGGTTAGGTAATAGATGGAGTTCAAAGCTACTATTACAGTAAAATAAAGTAAATACACAGGTTACACTCACGAGCACCTTAAAATACAATTTTGGTCTGGTTAACATTTTCTGTACCTACTTGATTGCGATATTAAATGAAACATCATGTAACGAATAATTAGTTTTAATTGCAAATTTGTTATGTAAGTCTAGCAGATACCTTTAATTTGAAAAGATATCGTAAGGTGCGTACCAATTAATTCCTAAAAGTGAATGTAGAATCTCGTTGTAATCTATGAGAAATTTGAACCTCACATGCGAGTGCTTTAACTTTTAACCTTGTTAGCGTAAGGAGTAAAACAGTATATTACTTATTTGTTGGATCTATCTTCTAAACTGATGTAGTTTCTTTTACTAAACCTTTAAACGCACACCAGGTGGTACCAAAGTTATTCAAAGTTTGTTTGTTAAAACATTATACAAAATGTACCTATATGTAAAAGATTTATAAATATAACGGCTTCATAAATCAATTAAAAGCGCGTATAGTATAAAATTGTTAACATGTGATTACTAATGAATCATAAACAGTCAAAAGTAATCCGAAAACTAAAATTTGCTTTTAAATGTTTAGAATAATGCTATTGGACTTTAATAATTTATTTATCTCTTTAATGTACACCATTGCAGTATAATTTGTATGCTGTTATTATGCCGAGCATAATATGTCGGTATTTACATAAGTGAAATAATATTTTGGTTTAGCAGGTTTAGCGATCAACGTACCAGTAAAATGTTACGATTATTGATTCGGCAACGATGCCCACTTATTATGTCTTAAGTAGTACTAGAGTACATGCAACACTGTCGAAAATCAACATTTGAATTTTATTATATTCAAAACACGCGCAAAACGGCGCGCGGTAGTACTTGTTACATCACGTCCCTAAACTATAAGAAGCTTATGTATGGTAGAAGCAAGGCTTACGTTTCTCTATCCTTGAACCTGCAACTCTTTGAATAACATTTTATAAGTCGAGAATTCGTATAATAGTTTTTAGTTCTGATAATAATTAAAAATTTTTTTTATTAAATTAAATAGTTAATCCTCTTAAATTCAATAGGATCCTGCGCAATATTTTGTCAGTACGAATCTCTCTATAAGTAGGTATAATCATAAAATAGTCTTCACATTCCTGCTATATTTTTGAGAGAAACATCCAACGGTAGCCCATATACACGCAGCTTTCTAGCCGTACAATGTTAGTACATACTAGTCATGTACTAACATTGTCTAAGATATTGCTCAGACGGACGGACAGATACTTCCTTATTAAGACTACGACTACTTTTAAAAAGGGATTTTAGTAAACTAGTTTAACGACACCCAGACCTCTGATTTCAG